AAAATATGGAAAATATTTTTTAAAATTACCATTTATCTGTAATTTAAAAACCTTTTGAAAATTGTTCATTTGATATGATAAACAGTTCTTAAGCCCCCTTTTGGGTTTTATACCAGAATAAAAATGAATGTGATACCAACTTTTGCTTCAGAATGTTGGAGGAAAAAGAGATGAAATGAAAGGTCATGCACTGATGATTCTGAGTCAAGGACATAAACATTTGAAACTATACTTCTATACTAATAAACTATTAAATCTAAATACTAAGCATAGTACATGATATATATAGCAAACACATAGTGAGTTATTTGCATACAATAGCTCTAATAAAATACAACAGCATGAGACTACAGCAGTTATTTCACTTAAATGTGCTGTGTCATTACTCTCAAAATAAAAACAGTACCTGTATCATAGCAGTATTGAGAAGACGAAGTTGATGTGTGCATCTGTGAGAAAGCCTGGCATATACCAAATTTCATTGCTTAATGGTTGCCAATCTGATCAGGCGACATTTTAATACATTTTACATTTTAATAATAACATAAAAGATTCAGTGCAGAGATCCCCAGAATTTTGGGGTCTTTCACCTTTTTTGTGGGCGGGGGAAGTGATTGGCATCCTCCTGGAAATTATCTTGAAGATAAACAGGAAAGCCCTTTCTAGCTGTACCCAATACATAGGTGGATCACTAACAACATCACCCCTTACAAGTGGTGGGGTTGGTATCCCCCACTTTGTGAAATATCAGCAGTACATCATGAAATGTATAAGATACACACTAGGAGTATGACTGTTACCCCCAAAAAAATTTATGAATTCAGTACGATTAAAAGGAATTTTAAAATAATCTATAGAAGACCAGAGAGATCATCAAAGATTAAAGCACTTTACCTTACACGACACCTGCCCTGGTTCAGTCCTGACACCCTCATGGTTCCCTGAGCACTGCCAGGTTTTACCCAAAATCCAAAAATAAATTAGAATAATAGATACTGGGAAACATAAAACGAACACATTGTATTCCCCCTTCCTAAAGAAAATCTCACTAAGTAGAAAGATCGTTATTTCACTTTTCTACTTCTAAGTCAGAAACTAAAAGCTTTCTAAGTAGGAGCTTAAAGTAAAAATAATCTTTTTGTTAGTTTTCGTCCATAGCCAGCCATACTTGAGGCTTCCTCCTGGCTCTCTGATCAGGGAGCCATGTGAACCTGGGTTGGCCTCATTCAAGGCAAACATCTTAATCCCTGTGCTATCTCGTTAGCCTTAAAATATTCTTGTTAACTTGATAAATATGACATTCATTGCAAATTTTATAATGTTAAAAACATGGAATCTTTAATGAATTATAAAGTATCAAAATTAAAGAGGCAAAACTTACATTTTGCTGGAAGACTAAGATGCAGTCAACTGCCTAGAAAATCCACAAATTAGAAGAAGTCCAATGACTTCTAACACATTTCTACATACAAGTTGACCATGTGAAAATCAGTACCTTTAATAACAGAATCCAAAGGGAAAGTATCCTAGGTATTCTAAGAGGCTACTCATAAAATCAATAAACTCTAAAGTATCCAGGAATTGGCCTAAAATAAAACTAAGAACAACTTACTGCTGTTAAGGACCAGAATAAACTATTAAGGCCAGAATAAAATAAAAATACATCATGTTCATAATAGAAAAACACGGAAAATGTTAAATTTCTTCCAAGCTAGTAACACTTTGGCTCCTTGACAATCTAGTTTCGAAATTATGTGAAACTAGCTAAGGTAGAGGAGTGGTTTCCTGGAAATGAGGGCACATATGAAAAAAATGAAAATATGTTTGAGGAACTAAAGCATGTTTGAGGCACTAACTCTCATGTTTGAGGGGCCTACTGATCATACAGCAGGTAAGGCACTTGCCTTGCGTGAGGCTGAACTGGATCCAATCCAAAAAAAAAGAAAAAAATTATTGTGGAGAATTGCTTTTTTTCAGATATCAAAACTTACTAAATCCTATAGGAATTAAAATGTGAGAAAATGTAAGGAAACACTACAAAGGTAAAATTAACATTCTCAAACAAGGTTTCCAAAATTCCAAAAACAAACCATCAGTAAATGTTATTTTATCTAAGCGATTTTTCAGTATAACAACCATAATGTTAAGAAAAACTAAGTAGTTGAAAAAATGCTTGTAACATGTACAACAGATACTACACCTCTGATGAATTCACTTGAAAGAGACTAAGTAGAAAAATGATCCAAGTATATTAATAGACAATTTCAGAAGACGAAATACAGATAACCCATACATATAAAAAAGATGTTCGGCTCCCCAGGTAATCAAGGAAATACAAGATAAGACACAGTTTAAAAAAAATCTTTTCAACATCATAGTAGTAAAAGCATAAGAAATTCAAAACAGTGAGAAAAAGAAACTACACCCCACTCCTGCCCCCGGGTTTTTGGGTCACACTAAGCAGTGTGCTCAGCTCCTATTGGGAACAGGAAGAACATATGGGCTTCTGGAGGGTTGAACACAGGTTAGCTGTGTGTAACATGGACAGTCTACCTGTTGTAATCTCTCTTCAGCCCCAACAAACATCCTTTCATCCATCTATCCTTCCTTCCTCCCTCCGAACTTCCCTCCCTCTCTTCCTTCCTTCCAATCTATGAGATACATAGTTACAAAGTTGTTCAAGATTGATTTCAGTCATACAATGTTCCAACACTCATCCCTTCACCAGTGAGTATTTTCTACCACCAATGTCCCCAGTTTCCCTCTTTCCAACCTCACCCTCAGTCTACCTCTACAGCAGGCATTTTATGGTGAAGTTTGAACTGGTAAAAGCCATTGTGAGAAATACATGGCATTTTTTAACTTTAATTTTTTTATTAAATTAATTTTCTGATTTTTTATTAAATTAATTTGTGACTAAGGGCTGGAATGATAGCACAGCCGGTAGGGCGTTTGCCTTACACATAGCCAACAAGGCTGACCCGAGTTTGATTCCTCTGCCCCTCTCGGAGAGCCTGGCAAGCTACCGAGAGTATCTCACCCTCACGGCAAAGCCTGGCAAGCTCCCCATGATGTATTCTCTATGCCAAACACAGTAACAAGTCTCACAATGTTACTGGGCCCGCTGGAGCAACTAGATGAACAAGGGAGGACTGTGACTGACTGATAATTTTACTAAGTTATTCATGGGGCTGGACCAATAGCACAGTGGTAGGGCATTTGCCTTGTGCACAGCCAACCTGGCCGAGCCGGGTTCGATTCCTCTGCCCCTCTCGGAGAGCCCGGTAAGCTACCAAGAGTATCTTGCCCGCACGGCAAAGCCTAGCAAGCTACCCGTGACATATTCAATATGCCAAACACAGTAACAACAAGTCTCAAAATGGAGACGTTACTGGGCCCGCTCGAGCAAAAAATTATTCATAGTTGAGTTTTAGGAATACTATGTTCCAGCACCAGTCCCATCACCAGTGTTAACTTCCCATCCCAGGTTCCCTCCCAGCCCCCTACCCCACTCCCTGGCCTCTTTGACAGGCACTTTTTAAGTTTGATTGCCGTGGTTTGATCTCCTGCTCTCATCGTTACTCTGTGGTTTGGATATGTAGCTAAATTCGCTTCTCCACACTGCTAATGTTCCTGAGGCCTTTGACCCCTGCACCCCATTACTTTCCTCCCTAAAGTCTGGGGTCAAGGGTGATCTAGGCATCTTCCTCTACTAGAATGCATCTTTAAAACTAAAACCGACTTGGCTCTTCTAGCCATGGTATCTCTACTGTGTCCCTCCAGTATGCATGTACATGAAAATAATGAATTGGACTGACATGTTAGCTACAGGAATTGAGCAGAATGCACCTAAATGTATCACAGGTTTTTGACTCTGCACAAAATAACTCTAAAATGGGGTGCTATAAACATCTATTAAAGGTGTAAAATATCTAATGTTGTTCGCCTTACAAGCGGCCAACATGGCCAACCCGAGTTCGATTCCTCCGCCCCTCTCGGAGAGCCCGGCAAGCTACCGAGAGTATTCGATATGCCAGACACAGTAACCACAAAGTCTCCAATGGAGACGTTACTGGGCCCGCTCGAGCAAATCGACGATCAACGGGAGGGCCTTTACCTTTACCTTTACCTTTCCTTGTAAAAATTAAAATTGTGTAATTTAAGGGGGATGCCACACCCAGCAGCTCTTAGGGCTTACCTGGCTCTGCACTCAAGTATCTCTCCTGGTAGGCTCAAGGGAACCATATGGGGTGCTGGGTATAAAACATGAGTCAGTATCATGCAAGGCAAATACCCTACGCACTGCACTGGCTCTGGCTCCCAATAATTTAACAAAATGGCGGGCAGAAGGAATCTAATTTCTCATTTTGTGTCCATCAGCAAGACCATTTGGAATATAAATACAACACTTTCCTCATTAATATGGAAAGTATGTGCCATCTCATGTTCATTTAAAAAAAAAAGAGGAAGTACCACCTTGGTCTGAAAAAGAGATCTACTAACCCCACACTTTTTTCTGTTATTTCATGTGAAAAGGAATCATATCTTCCCAAGAATTTTATAAAGGTGCCCTTATGTGGAAAGTTTCACTAATGTGGCAAAAATAATCACTGTGGAACTCATTTTGAAAATTATATGACATTTCAAGTCATGTTTTTTCCCTTTTATTCATATTTTTACAAATTCATTTTAGCTGCTCGGGGTGTTTAAAATATTTCTTTCGGGAGCCGGAGACGTTTTTTTCAACATCAGATTTTCTATCTTAATGGTAAACTTCTCATTCCATCTTAAACATCAAGTCAGGTTATCTGATAAGCCAATTTAGGGGATTTTGCATTCATAAACAAATGTCTCCTTTATCCTACTCTCTGCGTCTTGTCTCCTGTCCTGCATTTCACTTGAGTTCTAGAATAGTTCTCAGTATACAGTCCGCTTTGTATGATGGTAATGGCGATCCAGTATATTCAGTCCCTGAGACAGCACTTTCTTGTCTCCTTAAGGTATGGAGCAGTTTCAGCAGGAATGTTGTGTGCTCTCACCACTTTGTCCCAGCAACTGGAGAACGAAAATGCTGTGGATGTTTTCCAGGTTGCAAAAATGATCAATCTCATGAGACCCGGAGTTTTCACAGACATTGTAAGTACTTGGCTTTTGGGGAAACCAGCACATCCATTGAAATTCAGACTCTCTCTTTAGGACAGTGGTATGACTTAGCCCCCAAGGGAAATTTTGGTAATGTCTGAAGATATTTTTGGCTCTCACAGATGGGACAGAGAGGTGTTCTAGTAGCTACAGGAATTCTACTAAACACTTGACAAAGCACAACAACAAAGAATTACCAGGTCACAGTTGTCAGTAGTGCTGAAGTTATAGAAATATCCTTAGTGAATTGTCTACACTAATAATTAGTTCCACAATAACAGATCAAATGGACATAAAAGAGATAGGTTCTGGATTATAAGAATTCCATTTTGGGGGAGAGAGAGAGAGCAGTAAGGCTCTTATCTTTCACACCCCTAACCGGGATTCCATCCTCCACGTCCCATATAGTCTTCCAAGCACCTCAGAAATAAAGGAGTAATTTCTGAATGCAAAGCCAGGAGTATCTCCTGAACATTACCAGGGGTGACCCCAAAACAGAAAGAATTCAAACAGTTTTATAATGTTTCTTAGCACAAATGTGTTCTATTTCTCAAGCATGTTTTTAACAGTGACTGATTTTTAATCAGTATTCCCAGCTTAGATAAAGAACCAAGCTGCTCTGTGCTTAAAATGTCTTTCATGGAGCTGGAGTGATAGCACAGCGGGTAGGGCGTTTGCCTTGCATGTGGTCAACCCGAGTTCGATTACCAGCATCCCATATGGTCCTCCGAGCACCGCCAGGAGTAATTCCTGAGTACATGAGCCAGGAGTAACCCCTGTGCATTGCTGAGTGTGACCCAACAAGCCAAAAAAAAAAGTCTTTTATTTGGTGGGTGGGGGGAGGGCAGTTAGGATAGAGAAGAGACCAGTATGACAGTAATAGCTGGAAATGATCACTCTGGACAAGAACTGAGTGTTGAAAGTAGGTAAACCTTACCTACTTTTAGTAGTGTTAAAAGTAGTAAACCTTACCTACATAATAACCTTTCAATATCTGTATTGAAAGCCATAATGCCCAAAAAGGGAGTGGGGGCAGAGAGAGAGAGTCGGAGGGAGAAGCCATAGAGGAAAGTGGGAGGGAAACTGGGGGCATTGGTGGTGGGAAATGTACACTGGGGGAGGAATGGATATTGGAATACTGTGTGACTGAACCCAATCATGAACAACTCTCTAACTGTGTATCTCACAGTGATTCAGTTTTTTCAAAGGAAATTGAAAAAAAATTTTAAAGTGTAGAAAGGAACAAAATAAAAAAAATTAAATTAAAATGAAATGTCTTCCTCTTTTTCTTTTAGGAACAATACCAGTTTGTCTATAAAGCGATGCTCAGCTTGGTCAGCACTAAAGAAAATGGAAATGGTCCCATGGCAGTGGACAAAAATGGTGCTGTTCTAATTGCTGATGAATCAGACCCCGCCGAGAGTATGGAATCTCTAGTGTGATTGAAATCCTGAAAGGGCACGTAATTTGTAAAACTTCGGAAGACTGAGAACTTTTTTGAGGCCTTTTTTGCCAGACTCTAGGTTATACAATAACCCAGTTACTTTTTTACACTGATAAAAGTTTTGATATTTATTTTTTGCCATTTTATGTCTTAATGGTATCCTACTGAGCATTTGCACCTCTGTTCATTTCACAGTGAAACGCGGTTTTACCTAGTTTGCACTATATGATCAGTGTTACTGCCTATAATCTAATATTAAAGCAACCCCGATGTGACATTCCATGACAACACACATGCTATTTTTAGTTCAGTACAGTGGAAGTCTTTGTTATGACAGTGAATATTGAGTTTATTATAATTATTATCATCATTTTTATTATATTGCTAAAGCAGTTGCATTCTACTAGCAGGCAATGCTGTACTTTTCCTCAGCCCTCTTCTTTACTTTTCTTTTTTTTTTTTAAGGCACTGTTCAATAATGTATGCATTCTGTATTTTAACCAAGTAGGTAAGCATTGTTCTTCTCAAGAATAGCAGGCTTCTGGGAGTTACTAAGGTCTATCAATATCATGGCCTTGAAATCATTCCATTTATGATGGAAGATATATCTATTAGGCAATAGAAGGCTTAAGAGTTGCTTCATGTAAACATCACTTATTAGTTACAAAGTTATATTCATAGCTTTTTAAAAATGCCCAATTGTGTCAAAATAAAGGATATCTCTGTGTGACAATTTTCACAGTAGCTATGTGGACAGCGTGTGTTATTTCCATTTGACTCTGAAATAGCCTCACCCCCAAATCAGGGCTATCTTTTACAGTACAGAGAAGGCAATATTTTATACAACTGAGTTATGAAATCTTTTAGTGACTCTACATGGATGCTTCCTAGTTTTATACCATACCTCACAGCAGATAGATAAAGGAAGATATTGCAGGTATCTAATTTTGAGTCTTGTCCTCTTTAAAATTACTATTACTCATATAGCGACCTAATAAAAACTACCTATATAGTTAACACTTACCAGTTTTGCCAAATGTTTCATGATGAATCTCTATAATTACATTCATTCTTCTTAAGATTAAATTGAAAATACTGAATTAGCAAAAGTCTTGGGTTTGTCTAGACTCCCACACATGTAAACATCTGATTTGTAGAAAGAAAATGAGAATCTTGAGTCAGAGGCTATAAAGATGCTTAAAGGGGAAGACAGCTTTGTTTGCTTTCATGTGCTTTGACCTGAAAAATAGGGAAACTTCTGAAAGGTAACTGATACCAATAATGATTACACAGAACCCCAAGAAGTTAATTGGTTTGGTCTGGTCATTACAGTCACCTTGCAGTACTTAACGGGAAAAGTAAAGCATTCACAAGTAAAGTTATTTCACTTAGGAAAAGAAATACATACTAAGATCAATTGCTTCTATGGAACATTTGCTTTTCAAGGGATGATTTCAATAAATCATCCCCAAAATGGGAACTGTTAAGAAGGAAAATAGCTTCATTTTTCACATTAATAAACATCAATAACAGCAACAACAAAAAAGTCCATCCTGTTGACTATCATACTACCTGGATAGATGTTAAAAACTTACTAATGATAATCAGCACTGAGGTTCTACTTCTCTTGATCTGACTTTCTCTAAAGTTTGTCAAAGTGGTGCTGACAGACCTGGGTTGCTAAGAATTGAGGCTACAGGTCAAATCCAGGAGTTTCAATGCATAGGTGACGTCAATAACATTTTCAGGAACTACACAACTTGCCAGGGTTAATTTCATTTTTCCATCACATAGTTTGAGCAACAAGCAAGACTTTTCATGAACCTTGTAAACCAGGCTTGAGAAAAGGTGTACAGGTGAGCTAAGTTTGCTAAAATGCAAGTGTTAAGTGATAGATATACTTTTACTGCCCCTCTGTTCCCACCAGAGGTGACACGAGAAAATCTTGACTATAGGATCATTGAGACTGCCACAAGGTTAAGAGGAATCGGGAAGGGAGGTTTCAGATTATTCTAAGAGCTAGATTATTTCATGTCATTAAGTGGATTACTTTACTTGAATAGAGTATTAGAAAGAGATCTTTTCAGTAGTTGGCATAGTGGATTCTCCTCTCAGAACTAATAGTCAAGGTGGACACTCAGGTAATGTCCAACTTGAGGTATCTCAGTAAAGGTATCTATTTGTGAGGTCCCCCCCCCCCAATAGAAGTAAATATTGGCGAGAAGACACAGGACAAGTATTTTCTTCTGTACTATTTACAGAGAGTTCACTTCATGGAAATGCATACCCTCCAACACAATTCTATGACCATCTCTTATGTGGGTATTAGAATAATGAAGGAATAAGAATAAGAATTAGAATAAGAAGGAAGGAAATAGGACAGAAACATTAGAAAGGTGGTTTAAGTTCTCTGAGCAATTGTGCGTCTGGAGCTGGTATGAGCCAAAATCCACAAAATCTGACCTACTGAACTAAGCAATTGGTATTTGCCTGTCTTGCCCAAATGGTCCCAAACACACTTGAACTGAGGATAGTTGTATTCAGCAGCTCATCACTTTCACCTGAGTGCAGCCTCAATAAAGGAAAAATCCTCCATCCTCAACAAAGGACAGAAACCCTTCATTTGTTATTGGCAAAAATATGCTTGCATCTTTCCAGAGGCAGCTAGTTTCAAAGATGGCATTCATTTTCTTTAAAACCTAAGCACACTGCTTAACTATATAATAAGGTTATTATTGCTTGCACTCAGGGGGAAGGGAAATAGCTATTGCAAGTTAGGGTGTGCTATTTTATGTTTTTTAGGTGTATGAAATTAGCTCTTCATTCAGAAACAAAATGCACATGTACAAAATTGAAGTGCAGTGATAACCAATTATCACTTCAATGGCCATTGATGGCCATGCTGGACATCAGAAAAAAATAACTCATTCCTATTAGAACTCTTCATTAGATCCAAAACTGCAATACTATATATATATATGTATGCATACATATATATGTATATAAGGTGACTTCTGAATTCCAAATATCAGTTGAACTGAATTGGTTTTCCCAATGTTAGGCCCTGAAGCTTTCACATTATTGCAAATTGAAGAGTTTAATAAGATCAAACAAGGTTCTAGTGTTTGAGGTCCAGATGTTGAAGCCCAGAGTGACATACTGAAATTAACAAATAACCTTAATTATTTTATAATGATACAGCACAACTGCCTTGTTATAAATTTTTCTTAAATGCATATATACTGTATTTAAATTTTAAAATATAGTTACCAACTTACCAAAGATACATATTGCTAATTCTAAGCAAAAAACCCCAAATTTATCATAATTTAAAAGATAATAATCAGAATGTAGCTTGTCTTAAGAATTTAGCAGTTATACTGAAAAATGCATTTCCAACTCCTATGTTCTAAAGTTTATGTTCAAATGGTGCCAGTGAGTTTTTATATGAAGGGAAAATGCCTGCTTTTTTTTTTTCTAAAATAGTTGTAATTCAACTTACCCCTTTGCACTTTCCCTTAGTTGCCATTTAACATACTATTGGCTTCACTTATCTCTAGAAAGAAGGCATGCTACAAATAGTAAGGAATTGTAATAATATTTGGCCTCTACTTTGTCTTAGCTGTTAAACGGTTTTTAGTATTTTTGTTAAATATTTGCAAAGGGAAGCATTTTCTACAGAGGATAATTAATTTCAAGAAAAATATCTTGAGTTTTAAAAAATAAACATCTCCAGAAAAGGAGACAGTCAATTTTATAAAATGTCGCAACTCTCCAACATTTGGGGTAGTGACTCCTTTTTTGTTAGGACATTTGAAACTAGCAAGCAGCCATTGTTTCTTAAAAAAGAGAAAAAAATTCAGCCTTCATGTGGATTCATGTTTCTTTCCCTTCATTTTGAAATAGATAAAAATCATTAAAACTGTAAATATTTTGTTGCTTAGATAAGCATCTTCTGGGAACTTTGTATCTATGGTATATAATCATAGAATTTTATATTTTCATATAAAGCTAATTTTTTTCTAGTTTCAACTCTGTCATAGTTGTTTTTTTTTTTGGTTTGGTTTTTGGGTTTCATTTTTGTTTTTTGAGGACTTTTTGGCTTTTTGTTTGAGGGTGGTTTTTGGTGGTGGATATGTGAGTTCAACTTTCTGTGTATTGAAGTAGAAAGAACCATCTTTGCATTCCAAAAGAATCCAACATGTGTTATTTCTTTGAGGCAGTGATTGTGAAAGTTGGGTTTTCTTTTTAAATTCCATTGATCATTCGTGCAATAGGAAGTAGAAAATTAGTCACTGAATACATTTGTTGCATTGACCCATTGAAAAAGTGGTGGTGGTTTTTTTTTTAATTTGTTCAGAGGGAGGGGTTTTGTAACCTGAAAATTTTCCCTTTATTCTTCTGTTAAACTATATCAAATCATTCTATTATAGTGTTATTTAATATGTAAATTGTATTGCTATACATAAAATAAAGTATGGTTTTTGATGTATTAGTGTTGAGCATTTCTATGAAAATATCTATATCAAATGAGATTGGGTTAGTTAATCTCCAATAACACATCACATTTATAAAGACTAACTTCAATTTTAGTTTTCATGATAGTAGAATTAATATTGGGTGTCATCTTTATGTAGGCAGCAACCAAAATATTATTTTCTGAGTTCTTTCTCTTTTAAGAGCAAACATAATAAAGTTTCACCTACATATCGAATCAAAATTTATTCACTATAAGAATCTACTTCTAAGTTATAAGCAGAATTACTGTCTTCTCAAGCATATAAACTAAATGCAACTTCTCCTTAATATTAATGATAAAGGATTAAGGATATGTCCAGGCCAAACTATTGTAAAAGATATATATCAGACATATAAGATCACTATAATTACTTCTATTAACAGGGAATTTTGAGATTTCCAAATAAGGATACTGAATTTGATAGCATTGATCCACTATTCACTGCATTTCTAGTGGTTCCACATCAAGAGTTAGCATTAGACTGCACTCATTTGTGGAATATAAAGTAACATAATGGAAGATTAACACCCAAGGATAATAGAGATAAGGGTCAGGAGGATGGCTCCATGCCTTGGAAGCCAGCCTCACATCCTGAGGGAAAAGGCAGCTGGGATAGAGAAGGGACCACAAATAAATGATGCTTGGAGGGCTCAGGTTGGGAGATGTGTGCTAGAAGTAGACCATGGACTGAACATGATGGCCACTTAGTACCTGTGTTGCAAACTATAACATCCAAAAGGAGAGACTAAAAGGGAATGTGCCTGCCACAGAGGCAGGGGGCGATGGGAGGGAGGTAGCAGTAGGGATACTGGGAACATTGGTGGTGGAGAATGGGCACTGGTGGAGGGATGGATACTTGATCATTGTATGACTGAAACGTAATCATGAAAGTTTGTGTCTGTTAACTGTATCTCATGATGTTTCATTAAAAAATGTTTTTAAAAAAGAGTTACCATTACAAACAAAGCCCAAATTTTTCTAATAGAGAGATAAAAGTGCAGATATTTTATTCTATCTCTGGACTGTAGGAAATGATGCATTAAACTTTTCTGTAATTCATTGAAGAACCAGTTCTACCACTAAAGAATGCATCTAGAGGGGCCAGAGTGACAGTACAGCAGGTAGGGCTTTTGCCTTGTACACAACAAATTCTGGTTCGATCCCCGGCACCCTATATGGTCCCCTGAGCACTGCCAAAAGTAATTCCTGAGTGCAGAGCCAGGAG